TGCATGCTGTTGGGATGTTCAGGCTGTGAAATGGTGTTTGGTGGTGTAGAAAGCGGAATAGATTTGGCTTTGTTAGTTATGTGTGATTTCGGTTTGATCGTGGGTTTGGATTGGTTAGTTAAACAGAATGCTGTAATGGATTGCAGCAATAGGGTGATTCAGTTTGGTCTGGCTGGACACCTTAGATTTGAGATTGTAAGGAGTCGAGAAGGAACCTCGATAGTTGCGCTGTTGACAGGACTTAAGTAAGAGATCTTATTGGATGACCAGTTTGGAAGGACTATATGGACTGTGAAGGATATGTTGGAGGCATGTATATTGGATTTTAGGGGCAAATGGGAAGGAACCAGTTTTAAGGAATAAGACGGTCCCATTGATCAAAGACGTTTGAGATTGTTACGGGACAGAAGGTACCATTTGGGAGAAAGGAATAATGAGACGTCATCACCCCCATCTGTTTGGATAGTAGGTATAGTTGTAAATTTCGAGGACGAAATTTTATTAGGGGGGAAGAATTGTAACAGTCTGAATTTTCGATCCTTTTCCCGGGATTTAAGAAATAAATTTGACCAATGCACTATAGTGAGGTCTCACCCGGAAATGCGCATTCACGGGATGCTAACCTTAGGGGTAGGGCCGTTACGGGATTGAGTTCGCACGACCAAAGAACTCGACTTGGGTTCGACTTCGACCATATCGATTGACGAGGAAATGTTTTGAGCCAACCGAGACCGATCTATTTGATTGATCGTGTCCAAAGGGCACTAGTGACAGACCCTCGCAATTATATGACAACCGAGGTCGTCCCGGGTGGAGTAAACTTAAACGTGATTTGACTTAGTGTCGGTCACGGGTCGAGAGCGCGTAATTCCAGAGAGCCACCCGTTAGCCAGAGATAAGCTAAAGTTGCTATTGCTCGATTTTAGTCATTTCTTGGAATTCGGGCCCGGGAATCGAGAATTTTGAAAGTGACAATTTTGGATGGCCGATGACGTTTTTGGCTTGGCCAACCTTGGGGCCACCCATTTCTGCGAAAAAATGGATTTCAGTCCGGGGCCGGAAAAATTACGGTTTTGCCCCTGTGGGCACCGAGGCTGGATTCGAAGGCCGTTTGAGGTTATTTTTCGCGGCCAAAGTCATTTTGGGGTGGCCACGCACATTTAGAGTGGTTTTGGCCAAAAATTGGAATTTCGACAAAAATTGGAAAAATAATATTATTTTATTCCCGAGACTTTGACGTGGATTTTCGAGGGCTTGCGCGATGAATTTCGCGATTCCGACGCCATATTATGTTGGCCACGCATATATGGAACGCGTATGTGCAAAAATTGGAATTTCGGTTCGGGATCGGAAAATTACGAAAATGCCCCTAGGCCATTTTTGATTAATTCCGAAAATTGGATTTAATTTTGGGATTAACCAAGGTGAGTTAGGCTTAACTCAGGTCTGGTCAACCATGGTTAAGAGCAAATGACCATTCTACCCCTAAATTATTGGATTAGGGCAAATCCTAGCCTTTGGATCAAGGGCAAAATTGTCCATTAGCCCTAGATCTTGACACTTGGAATCCACCCACACTTGTTGACCCATATTTGACCAGGTTATTCTCTCTCTTCAGCAGACCATTCGGCCATTTCTCCCGCAAGTTTTCTCTCCTTTCTCTGTTTTCTATTCTGCAGTTTACGTTTCTGCCATTTCCGGTACTGTTCACGCCGGAACAGTACCAGCCGGTGCTGCCCCCACCAAGCCAACATCACCAGCAACCATTTCCACCTCTGTGCAGCCACCACAGCCCCAGTTTTTGTCCAAAACAGCCTTGTTTCTCTGTTTTTCTCTTTCCCGGTCTGCAAACAGTACCGCCGGAGCTTCGCCGGAGCTCCGATCGCCGTTCCGTCGACACCCAGCCGTCCAGCCTCGCCGTACGTCGCCGTCCAGCGTAGTCCGTACAGCGGCCGTACGGTACTGTTCACCCGTCCGTACGGATCACTGTTCACGCCGGACCGTCGGACGCCGCGGCTGTCACCGGCACCTCTCCGGCCACCGTCCCAGCTGTCCGTACAGTGTCCGTACCGAGCGGTACTGTTCATCGCGTCCGTACGGAACACTGTTCACGCCGTCCGTAAATCGCCGGCGACGCTGCTGCCGCTGTCCCGGCCCTTTCCAGCCCCGTTCTGTCTCGCCTTTTTGGGTAAGTGTTTTCCCCAAATGTCATTTAGGACCTCGGGTATTTCTAGACTCGTTTGAAGTTCGGTTTAAGTGATTTTAGGGACTGTTTGCTGGCTGTGATATGCCGTGTGATGTGCTGTGAGTGGCTGTTCGATACGCAGTTAGTACCATTAGGACCGGCTCGTAATTTTATGAAAGTGCCGTGAAGAGCCGGGAGTGAGATATGGTGATTTTGAGGGCGAAAAAGACTGATTGATGGCTGTGATGTGTGGTTTTAGGTGCTGTGGGGTGCTGTTTGTCGTGTGGTTAGTACTGTTAGGTCCGTCCCGAGATTTTGTGAAATTGTCGTGAAGGGCCTGAACTGATTTGATAACGTTTGGGTGTGGAGAAATGCCAGTTTGTGTGTTGATCGTGTGTGTTGTGATATGACTGTGTGGTTGTGGCTGATTTGGGATTGTGCTTGGGCTGATTGTGGACTGGCCATGTGTCGTGTGTGTGTGGCCGTGAAGTGTGGTGGTGTGGTAGTGCATTCGCGTATTGTATTCGCGTGCCAACAATGTGTGATTGGGTGTTCGTGCGGTGTTTGTGTGACGAGGTTGTGTAAATGTGAAATGTGTCTGAAGTGTGTATGTTTGGCAGTGTGTTTGTGTGGTGGCGTGGCAAGTGTGGTTTGAGTGGAACGAGGATATGGAAATGTGGTTTGGTTGGAAAGGTCCGTCCTGAGGCGTGTACGTTTACGCGGGACGATGCCGTCCCTGACGAGGTGACGATGCCCGGCCCGACGGGGTGTCGATGCCTGACGTGGTCAGAAGACCGTTGGCCTGATGCGTTTTACGCGGGCGCGGTAGAAGGAAAGTGTGTGTAGGATTCCGTCCTGAGGCGTGTACGTTTACGCGGGACGATGCCGTCCCTGACGAGGTGACGATGCCCGGCCCGACGGGGTGACGATGCCTGACGAGGTCAGAAGACCGTTGGCCTGATGCGTTTTACGCGGGCGCGGTAGTGGTGGAAAGGTTGAGAATGAGTAGATTTGGCAAGACAAGCGAGAGGATTGTGGAAAGTGACGCATGGTGTGAGTAGCGTGCGAGTGTGTTTGTATCGCGTGATGTGATGCTTAATTATGGGGTAGAAAGCGCTAGGCACGGTATGGGACGTGCCCAAGTGGTTTCGTCTTATAATTGAGGCACGCGCGCGTCTGTGATTCCTTCTTTGTGATGTGTTGGCTGTGTTATTGTCTAACGTGCGAGGAACGTGCGTGATAGATTCCAGGTAGGGTCGCATGTGATTGTTAGTTTGGCCGATCGTTGTGTGTTATGTGTGTTTTCGTGCGGCGGTACGTGAGTGCCTACGTGGGGTTTGGGGTTGTACACTTATTGAGATTCGTCTCACGGTTGTATAACCGCCACTTTTGAACCGGCCCTAAACCTGGGAAGTGCGCCTTTTCTTTTGGAAGTCAGGGGAGCTTTGTTGGTGCCCGGTGGAGGGTGCGGTGAGTTCCGAGTTTCAAGCCGAGAAATTGAAGCGGGCGGACGAGGGCGATCCTTAGGTTTTTCCCTAGGGTTTTAGGGGTTGTGTAAATCGGGTTGACCCATAGGGAAGTTAAGTTAACCAGACCTCGATCTTTTGTTTAAACGGTGACTGAGGATGTTAGTCTGTATTTATGTCTGGAATATGATGTTTGTATATTTGGTGTTGTATGAATATGTGGTTCTTTGGATTGTTACGTTGTTCTACCCCATTGTCGTCATTATTTGTCAGGGGTTTTGTTATTCGCTTCCGCATGTGGCTCTGATGTTTGGGTTGGGTCGGCGACGTTCCTGGGACGTCGCATCATTTCGACCGGAGCAGGGGATGCCGCGAGCTCGTTGGGGTTCGGGGCGTGACATGAAAAGCATGACCTGTTGAAATCGTGCACCTTGTGTCGGATATCTGAAGTTGAAATTCGAGAAGGTATGCTCTAACTTGGTGGAGAGGTTCTTTTGTTCATGTTGCGCGATGCGTACTGGTGATAACATCGTAGAAAATGAAATTTCGGTAGTCTTCCCTTTATCTCATACTTGAATGTCAATAGGGTGTAGGCAAAACCCAAGCCATTTCATTGATCGAAAGAGCATCTCCATAGTGCTACGACTTTAAGCCATAGAAATCTACTTAGGCATTCAAACACGGTGCTAATGACATTAGTTGGACGATAAATAGTTGTCAGTAACAATGCATGGTCCGTCCAAAGGAGGGGGTCAAAGTGCATCTTACTGAAAATTGAGCACATATTCATATCTATCTTCATAATACACGTCTGATCATATTGTGTCGAATGGGTTGTTGGCCCATTGCGTAAGATCCATATATTTTCGTAGGAAATCCACAGATATGGTTACATGCCCGGTATCCATTCATGATTTTCCAAGGCAGCACTGTTTTTTGAGATGTGCAAAGAATAGAAATCACCACCACCAAAGTAAACCAGAGCTTCGATCTAAGATCAAGAGTAACCGAAAATATTTATGTTTGGCCAGAAGCAAAGGTCAATCCTATGATTTATTATGATCAGTACTGATGTCGAATACTAATGGAAACTCTCTCGTGCGCATGACCTCGGACATCCAATGTTAACTTTCACCTGCATAAAAGATAAGGTACAGATACATGCAGTAATTATCAGAACACCTGTCGACGTACACTTGCTACGCCAGGCAATGCTTGAGTTACAATGCCTAACTTTGGTGCGGTCACTCATTTGTTGCTTATTTTACCTCTAATTGCAAGAGTAAATCCAGTGTTGAAACATATTGAACAAGCATATCCTCAAAGATCAAAACTGTTCATTAAATCCCTTGTGTGAAAACACCTAGAAGAAGGGTCACAAAAGAATCATTATTCAGCAACAAATCCAGGGAAGACCTAACAATAATATCCATAGCTCTGAGTGCAAATATTCCACATCTAGAGTACCAAAAAAGGAAGGTACAGCCCCACTGTTGCATGTCACGGTCTTTTGAGCCGTGACCAAAAAGAAACAAACATAACGAGCCTTTGATTGACTCAGCAGAGTACAGAAAACTGTCCTTTTACCTCCCCAGATTTTATTCCAATCACGAACCCTCAAGCCCGAATCAATGGTGATGGTCTTCGTCATCATGCCCATCTGGTGGTCCTCCGGGACCCACAACTTCAAGCTGTCAAAACATGAGAATATGATCAATGATGTTTCTACATTGGCAAAGGGGAACCTAAACTGGATAATCTAGCAGTGCAGTCAGTATGACCATAAAATGCAATAAAAATTGGAAAAGATCAAATTGTCAGAGCTCCAGTGGCGTATTTGCTAGTAAAAGAAAGATGATCTGTCTTCATATTACACAGAAAACGGCAGCCACTCTCTGTGTGGGAAAGATGCTTTAACCAGTAGAAAAAAGAATTCATAGAAGCAATGGAAGATCTCAAATGAATTACATGAATCCAGGTGTCATTGTTTGACTCCTTTCTCCATCCATTGTATTAGTGCATAATAAGCAAATCTACATCATGTAAGATACTTCAAAATTTAAGTCCATCTGACCTCTTTTCTCATAGCAGAAAGAAAATTACATGTTTCTTCAAGTTCATTCATTCACTAAGATCACCACAATAATGAGGACCACCTGTGTGTTTGTGTGTAAATGCGTGCGCGTGGAGAGAGGGGTCGAAGATTCTGTATCAATTTCTCTATGAAACCGGACAACAGAAGAAGATTGTTTCAATTGTCATATTACCTTCATAACAAAGGAGCAGGTAAGACTTCTAAACTTGGAAATAAGTACTATTTCCATACCCATTTAAACAGAAATACCCATGATATGCCCAGTATCTTCAGTATAAATATATATAGATGAGATTTTAGTCAGATAAAGACCGAGCTAATTATACAGCATATGGATTGTCAGCATGCTTACTGCACTGGCACAAGAAACATGTTATCACACTTACCACAAAATACTGTGCACACACGGGACATTCATGAGGCTTGCCTTTCTCCAGCCAGAACCAGACAACGTCATGCTCATCCTCTTCAATCAAGAATTAAAAACAGCATATTAAAAACTAACTGAGAAAAAGTGGTTCTGTAGAGATACACATACTATTCATTTGATAGAATGTGCTCCTACTGATGGGTGATAAGATTGGTTGGGGGAGGATTTGCTCCATTGCACGTGAAGATAGATGGCATAAAAGGTAAGAACCTACCTCCTTCCCCTCCCGGACATCCGACTATTCTCTTATCATAGTACGACTTGACAACAGCAGGAGATTCCTACACACACTCAGAACACAAGTACCATATCGTTAAGACGACAATTAAAGCAAATACATCCTTCTCACTTGCTTAAGACTACATACAACAAGCACAGAAAAGCCAAAAATAAGACAAACGCAAAAGAGCATAGGCATTTCTGACTAGATGGGATCACCTAGGGGATCCTCTCATACCTTCCCCCTCCGTCCAAGACAGCATGTTCAACATAACAGAGACATTAAAAATAAAATTTTCTCCATTGATCTGTTCCCACATTTATTCTGTGAAAGAAAACTTTACCCAGCTAAAAGGCCAACTACGAAAGAAAGGCAAAAACCTACGATCTGGCTTTTGAAGATCGAAAAGGAAGAGAACAAATTGATGTAATTTCTTCCTCATTATCAGTACGCATCCTTCTCAAATAATCAACAATCACTTGCCTCGAGAGAAATGCAAGAACTAACCGAATTAACAATAATACAAAGACATGCTAGAGATCCAACCCCAATCTAAAATTCAATAACATCATCTAGATCCTCAAATGGCTACCTGCGAATAAAAGACAAGAGCACACTCACCTTGGTACCAAAAGGCCCGACTGGGAAGTTGATGTCGAGAACGTCCCTTCCCTGCATATAGTTTTTGCAGAGGGTTCGGGAGAAAAATTAGTTAGCATACACTTTTTTGGACAATTCAAAATCTCCGCGAAGGCCAGCACCATACTCCACATTGGCCAAAAAATGCAGGGTCCCGGAAAATCACCTCAAGCTCAGCTTCTAGCTCCTCACGCTCGTGTCCAGTTGCGATAGGCATTACATCTTCGACCTTCTTCTTAACAGCTGTTTCACCTGTAGCATCAGAGAATCAACATCCCTTCACAGACACTCAGCATCTCCGGTGAACTACTGAGCTCGCTTCATTTCCTCCTCCCAGTTCAATTTCACGAAACACAATCCACAGGACACAAAACGATCCACCCGAATCGTGAATATAGATGCAGCACTACAAAAATCCACGCATTGCATAACCAAAAAAAAAAAAAAACAACGAAAAAATCGATGAATGAACATGTAAAACCTCTACCTCTACCTCCCTGTGCGCTACAGTTTCCACGAAACACACGCAATTATCAACAAATCAGTCGCCCAGAGATCAGCGTCAGTTATCTATGGAAGCGACGCCTCGACACGGTCAAGCCACAGAAAACGACACTAAAATCGCCGCCGGAATGCGAATTCAACGCGAGCAGAAGAATCCGAGCGCGGAGGAGAGAAATACCGGATTCGACGCTGAACCGGCGCGCGAGCAAGGAAGAGGAGCAGGAGCGGAGGAGGGGGCGAGAAATGAGGGGCGGGCTGCCGAACAATCGAGCTGGAGAAGAGGCGGCGGCGGCGGCGGAGGATCGGCGCGGGGCGGAGGAGGAGGAGGCGGCGGCGGCGGCTAGGGTTTTGAGGTGCGAAGAGGCGAGCCTTCTCCACATGGCTGGAGCTCGATTTCGACGGCGGTGGGGAGCTGTGTTGATCTCAGGTCACGCCCTGCTCGAACAAGATCGACGAGGAGCCTTCCTCTCTCTCTCTCTTGAGCTCTCTTTTTCTCTCTCTGCAGAAGAAGACTTTCGAAATGGGGAATTGAGGAGGTCGCTAAGCGATGGGGACGGAGCGGGGGGAACGGTCGCGATCGATCGTCCCAGTGGCTCGCTACGCTAGTCGCCGCCGCAGGGGAGTAGGCCCCGCGCCGCGCGTGCCGGGTGGAGATTTCCCACGTGCCGTGGCTTCGGCGAAATTATGCGGGGATTAGACTCCTCGTCGTTATATAGCATGCCGATTCAATTTCTCAAACTTATCCATTTTGCTAATGCAAATCAATCATCGAATTCGAAAGGTAAACGCCCCGGCCAAATTGTCACCCGGAAGTTACTGAGGCATCGTCCAGTCAGTGCCGGCCATCTTACGTGGCAGGGATTTCCGGCGACAAGTGGCCAGAAGGACTACACGTGAAATTTTACTCAAAGGTTTATGATTATATTGTCAAAATTAAAAATTTTATAACTAAATTGGTATCTATAAAACATGATTTATAGCCTTAATATGCGTGCCACGTGCTATCATCAAATTTCATTTGTCAATTACAATTTGATGGCACATTTAGTCCAATTAACGTTTTCAATTTTAAAAACCACAGAGAACTGCTGAATACAGCCCGCGGTTTAATTAGGCTAACCTTGACTTCTATTCACCTTTAAAAATTACAAGAAATTGCTCTTCTTTGCCATTGAAAAAAAGAATAACGAGTCAACGATTGGTCTAGCAATTTGGTGCTACAAATTATGTTGTACGGGCTTCGAATTGTTATTTTTGTACACTAGGGTAGATGGTTCCATAGGTCAGTTCTAGAGCCCGAGACCATGTCAGCTTCTTGGTCCGGTTGAAGGCACGTCATCCATACTCCCACCGGGGTATTCATAAGTTCACGTCGATGATTTATTTAACAAGCAAAGATAACGCATGTGCATCACAAAAATACGCAAGGAAAAGGATATAATTTACGTAATGTTTTTTTTTTCCTAGAAAGAAATTTATTATTAGAAACTTTGACACTACCAAAATCAAAGACAAATGAACTATAGACACAAGAAAACCTAGTTATAATTTCAATCAATAAATTAATGTTAAGGCCACGATAATAAAAATTAGAGTTAATATCACGAAAAATACAGAATTGATACACGTATGACAAATTAATCCCAAAAATTAGTTCGTGGTAAATTTATCATAAGTGTACTAATTTAGTTTGGAATTTGTCGTGGTATTAACCCAAAAAATTATAAGAACAATTGATAAGAATGTTGTACTTAAGTCTTAAGGTAACATGCAATTAGATGGATATACTCTCAAAAAAATCCCCGGTGTCCATCCTCGGTCGTTGCGAAACGGATCCAAGTGCCGACGTGGCGCGACGCCATTGGCCGGGTACCTTTCGAAAACGAAGGCGCAAATAAAACCGTTAGCGGCGGCAACGACCCCCCCGAGGGGGGTGATCGAACTCGAACGCGACGGTCCGCGAGATCACACAGTCTTATCAACTCGCTCCGACTCGGGGGAAGTCCCGCTCCGACTCGGACTCGAATTCTTCCAAAAAAAAAAAAAAAATTTCTTTTTTCTATTTTTTTTCTTTTATTATCTTCTCCTCCTCCTCCTTCTCCTTCTTCCAGAATTTCTTCGGGCGCAAGCTTTCGCTCACTCTCGTCGTCACTCTTCCCGCAAGAACTCCGTCTCGAAGAAGAAGAAGAAGCAGCGAGGGCGGAGCATTCCGGATCATCGGTCCGGCGATCTTCCCTCCGCCGTCGGCGCGCGCGCGCCCTCCCCGCGAGGTGCGTGGATTCGAGCTTTGCGCGTGGTGACGATGGCCGTGTGCCGCCACCGCGAGTTCTCGTTCTCGTTCTCAGTCCCTTTGATTGCCATTTCGGCGACGATCCTCACCGTGTCCTGTGCCTGTCGACGATTCTTTGTTCTCGTTTCGCTTCGCGCGTGTGATTTTTTTGTTGTGCCCCGTGCGTTCGAGGATTGAGAGGAGGCGAACGCGCGAGCTATATTGGTTTCCGGAGATGCGAGAGCGCTGGAGGATTCAGGGGAGGATCTTCTCTTAGGGGGTTTTGTTTTGTGCTTGCGTGAGTCTCGTGTGTGATCTCTTGCGTTCGCATTGCGTAATCAGGGCCGCGCCTGTTCTGCTCCTCTGAACTTGCATGTGTTGAGAGAAAGTCGGCGGAAGGATTTGAATTTACGATCAGATTAGAGTTTGAAGGTTACCTTGCTGTGCAAGAAAGCCCGTCAGCCTCTCGGCGAAGCGGTCGCACTTGCGTAGGAAGAAATTCGAATTTTTTTTGAGTTGGAACTAGTGTTTTTACTGGGTATGCGCAAGATGGTTTTTCCAAGCTAAAGGCTCGTTGACATGAATTTGCTGCGCAAAGTTCAACTCTTTCTTGTAGAGTACTTTTTTAAAGTCCGCTCGTCATCGAAGCCAGATTCAAAAGGTTTGGGAATTGTATAGGCATGATTGACTGCTAAAGATACAAGTACAGAGGGAAACAAATGTCGACTACTCTGGTTACCTCGTGTAAATATCTGTGTCCAAAGTGGCTTAAAAGCATGAGCAGATGCCTCTTTCTGTTCAATTTCTTGCATTATACGTGGTAAATCTATTCCCAGGTGCTATAACGCTAGTCGTAACGAAATATCTGTGTAGTCCTCTCTGTTCTCTCTGTCTCTCTCTCTCTCTCTCTCTCTCTCTCTCTCTCTCTCTCTCTCTCTGTTGCACGCTCATGTGCCTGTATGATTATATGTTGTCATATGTGTTTCATTAACATTTTTACAGTTATTATTGCAACTCATCAACCGGGTCAAATTAGCATCTCATCTGTGGCCTTCTACGTCGTCTTACATTTGCTCATTCTAAGTCTTTGCTTCGCTATTTCAGGGTCTACTTTCCTGGTTCGAGTCATTAACAATACGGTGACCACCATGAGGCTGAAAAAAGGAAGCACCACCATGAGACTGAAAAAAGGAAGTAAAGTGGAGGTGCTCAGCATGAAAGAGGACTTCATAGGTGCTTGGGTTTATTCCGAAATAATATCTGGAAATGGGCGCAATTACTATGTGAAATGCTGTGGTTATCCCGGTACTGCCGGGAAGAAAGTAGAGAGGGTACCGAGGAAGGTCATTCGGCCCTGTCCACCTCCTGCGGAAGGCATAGGTGCATGGGTTCCAGGTGATGTTGTCGAGGTGTTTCACAACCTATCGTGGAAGACTGCCATAGTTGTAAAGGTTTTTCATGGAAACCACTTTGTGGTTAGGCCAGTTGGAAGCTTACGGCATTTCAATGTCCATAAACGTTATCTCAGGGCTAGGCAGATATGGAAAGATGGCAACTGGTTCGTGGTCGGAAAGGTAATTTTTGCATAGTAGATGCTTGTCCTTCTGCACATATCTTTTAGATTGTTTATTTTCTATTACAGCTTCAAGTTTTTTGCTTTCCTGGGAGAATGGTCGGTCCTAATAAGTAATAAAAGTTGACTCCCTCTGGTGTGATTGAATGCTTCCCCCTTTACATTGAAAAGTCTTAGAGCGAGGAGCTTTCTGGTAAGCATGTTTTCTTATTTCTTTTAGATTGAATTGGGCTTTTTATATAGGGCGCTCGTAATTGCACCATATCCCGGAGAAAACGACTTGCAGAAACAGACTTGAAGCTGCAAGCCGGAGCTGAATTTTCCCCAACTGAGGGAAATACTGAACTTCAGTTTCAAGTAGATTCAGAGAGGAAACTGGAGACAGGTTCACATGTTTGCTCGCCTCATGTTGAATCACACTGTGTTGGTTTTAAGAAGATCAAACTCATTACCAATAATTATGGGGAGACTTTGCCAGGGACTCCATCTTATGCTTCAGAAAAGGCTGATGCATCTGATTACCTGAATGAGGAAGAAAATAATGCAAGTTATTCCTCCTGTTGCTGGAGAACTAGGTTTCCTGAGGTGGAACCAGGAGGGTTTAATGAAGCTTTTCAGCTGACGACGTCAAAGAACATCAACATTGATAGTTGTGCATCATCTGTTGGCAGCTCTAGTACTAACGGCAATAATTGGTCTTCAAGTTCAATAAATTGCTGCATCGGGAATACTTCTGGCGAACTCAGTGACGCTGAATCATCCGTGGCATAATGTATTAAGGAGACTCATATTCTTTGTCCGACAAAAGAAGAATTGGAGGCAAGATCCGTTCCTTCGCCTCATCCAGTCACTGTCCAGTTCTGAGCTTTTCAGACTTCCAGTTGGGCTGAAGACACAAATGCCAAGCCTTCACCAATCTCTGCACAGTTCAGACAAACAAGCATCTGGTGATTATAAGAAATTTAACTTCTGCTGATGCTAGGCTTCTTACTCGCTGATAGCGGAATGAAACATTGGATCTTGGTCTTCTTGTTATGTTTCGCCCTTCCTTGACCATGAAATTGATTACATTCGTCGTCGCGAGCATTGGTTTATGTATTTTTCCAATGAAATTGTGTGAATCAAGAGTTAAGATTTTACGTACAGTGTAATAGTCTCTCGGCTCAATCTTTCACTATTTGAGAATTTTTTAGAATTGGATTTACAATGAAAATAGTGGCACCAGTTTGATAATAGATATCTCTGATTTGATTTTCTTTAAGTTCATTCAATATTGTCCCAGTGAGAGTGATGTGTCAAAGTAGATGAACAGGAGTGTCATTCTTAAAGGACTTACTTCAGGTATTCATGTGCTTGTGAGATGCTTCTTTTTTGGTGGAAGGTGTAAAAACTTAGGCTGAGCAAAGAAAATCTTTGACTGAATTTCTTATTTTTCTGGATTTCAACATTGCATGTTAAAAGATAGAGTGCTTCATCGAAAGATTCTGTGTTATAGAGACTCCAAATAATTAATTTCTGCTGCATATGATTCTACCCTTCTTTGGTGCGCTGTAGATGTTGATAAATCTGGCATCCCCGCAAGTTCTTTGATCCACTCTTTGGTGCTATCTAAGCTGTTTTTATCGCGAATCTCAGAGGTTCACCCCTTGCTCTAGGACAAGGATATAATGCTGAGGATCTTGATTCTTGACAGCTGACACCTTTCCTCAGGTGCATATGATTATTTGTACATCTCTTCTTAACTTAAAACCATCAGTCAATCAGTCGTCTTAAGGAAGAGCACCATCACTTATTAATTTCTGCTTTAATGATCAAAATTATGATGAGTTTTGTTTTTCTTGATCATTCATCGCCTAAATTCTTAGCTCTGGCTTATTTATTAGCATGTCATATGTTTGAATCTAGAGCTTCGTAAAGGGCTGTGCTTTCTTTCTTGTTTTTGCTTAAAGGTTATATCGCTGTGCCAACATGTGGTGGTAGCTTACGTTTCTGTGGATGCATTTGGAAGCTTAGAGTTACTTATTCTCATGTTTAATTTGTTCAATCCATCTGCGTAAAAAATCATGAATGCCTGAAAAGCATAGCTATGTGCTGACAGGTACAAGTTAAACCAATGACCATATTTTTTTGAATGCTGAAGACAATGAGAATTGCACTATCCAGCTTCAATCTTATCATAGAATAAATTGAACCTCTCTCTCTCTCTCTCTCTCTCAATGTTTGTGTAATGTTAGGATCGCACCATTCACAAGAGGATCAGGCAACGGGAGCAGAAGCAGCCACTTATAATTTATTCAAAGTACTGGAGGATGCTGCAGTATGGATCTCCAATGTTATACCAGATATCAAACACAACTGAGTACAGTACATGTAATGTAATATCTTCCTAATAGATAGAGTCCTGACTGGAGAAAGTGCAATAGAGTCCTCCCCAAATTCTAAATAGCTTCGTTAGCCCGATCCACTCATTTTTGAAAAGGAATCAATTGGAAGTGTTGCGGCAAGAAATCATAGCATATAGCATTATATCATGATAAGCCTCCTGGAAACTGCTGGTTTCTCAGGTGGCTTCTCAAAACAAGCCAGAGTCTCATGCTAGTTTGCGGCTGCGAACGCTAACCAACCTCACATCATCAATAACAGGTCCACACAAAGAACCAGAGTGATCACTCTGCATGTTGTAGTACGAGCTCAAGAACGTGAGCCTTGTGTGAGCCGATGTGGCTGTGAACCGGAGTTTAGCACGGACGTGACCGCCTTTGCCCATAGAAGTGTAGGGCACCGTAACAGACGCCTTCCCTGCATATGCCTCCACTGCCATAGACCCTTCACATGAGTTCTTGGCATCGCCGACCGCGAACGTGAGGACGTAGACTTTGCCAGGCTGGGTCGAGACGACTTGTGCAATGGCGCTTTCCTTCCCGGCGAGGAGTTCCACCGCATGCTTCCCCTCCGGAACGGCGAAGTGGTCTGAATCGACGTACTTCACTGCTTTTAGGGACTCGATTATCCATCCGGGCAAAGGGCTGTGGTCATCCTCAACGTGGGGCGGTATTAGGACGCCCCATGATGTCTTTGGGGGCACATAAGGGCCTTCCTCAAAATTTCCGTTCTTCACCAAATTTGCTGAAAAAAAAAAAAAAAGAAACCCAGTCAACGTTGAAGGTGGTACTTCAGTAAACCGAACATGATGAACTTGGTCTGATCTTTCTCATATCAACGCATCTATAAAATTATTAAGAAGCAGAATCAACAGTGAGACTCAATCGACAGAGATTGAGAATTTACCGTTAGTGCGTCTCGGGATGTACAATGCCTTCAATGCGACCGAATCGATCAATGGTCCACAAGCCGGGTCCTCGTCCACACCCGGGTTATGGATCGAGATCTCGATTTCCGGGGCTTCCGCTTGGAAACTCCAGCAATAAGAATCCCATCCATTGCTGCTGTACATTGTTTGCATCGGCAATATTCCCCAGTCGTGTGTCTCTGAGTTCGGCGAGACCGATACGTTCAATTTCTCTTCTTGCGCGCATGTCCGGGCCGCGCTAAATGTGACTGAGTAGAACGTACCCTTCACGACCTTCACCTTCTGCTTTATCGAAGCCTCGTTGCCAAGCCTCACTGCATATGCTCCTTCAGGGACTACCAGTAACATATCACCCTGCTTGTGACCTGATTCGATGTACTCAACATAGCCTGAAATTTCCCATCTAGGAATGGCGGTCTTGCTGGTGACCACCGTTCCTTTCAGCTGTGACGGCTTCGGGCCATTCTCGAAGCCGCCGTTCGGCAATAAACCTGAGGACAATGCCAAATTCGGGTCATTCGCTTGTTAGCTTGGCCGGTTCATGAAAATTTCTAGTCGTTCATTCAAAATCAGTATCATGTGATAGATCTTTTTATTTCTTACTCTTAGGAGAATCATCAGGCTTGATCTACCACATAGTCGCTTGAAACTAAAGAAATGGGCACAGAATCTAGCACGTGAATGATGGTAAGAGAACATTGCTAGAAAAAGCTCATTACATGCTGGGTTCACATGTTATGTTCAGAATTTCCTTATAAAAAAAAGGCCATGTGGGAAGAAAACTTTGATTAATCTGGCTTAGACCCTTTTGACCTCATTTGAACATGGATTAATACATGACATTAAGATTAATTCAACCAAAAAGACTGCACAAGGAATAATTATCATCTTATAAATGGTTTCCTAAATCAACAAATTTTTTTCATCATGTATTTTAAGTATCTATCCTCTGCTCTTCCTGCGGTAATTGGGAAATGCCTGTCCTAAAGGAGTATCTACCGTATTTCAAATTTTCAAAGCACAGTTCTATTTATGAGGTATGGCTTAACATAGTGGACTCGACACTCCTACACGAAACTCGTATCACTAGATGACATAGAAAAACCTTGATGCATGGATTGGTCCGACTTCAAGATCATTGATAGATCATAGACTCCAAACAAAGTCGTCGTTCTTATAGAAGAGTCATATCACACGGCATACCGGTGCGCTATCATGAACCCCCATGAATGGTCCGGCTTTCGGTGCATGTTAAAGGATTACAACGAGCAAAGACCGGTTATTTAGTCTATAATATCTTGTTAACATTACATTCTTACATATGCCATGGGACAAAAAATTGTGGAAGAAATTTTCCACTTGATGGTAACTGCAGTACAGTCCTAAATTGTTTTATCAGACTTGGGAGTGATCACAGAAGCTGAACATAGGACAACAGATTGAGCAGATGTAAGGTCAGAGATCCACATGGCCCTACTTGAAAAAGAGAGGAAAAGGGTAGCTTTTTGAACCCCCTAGTCTTAATCATGGTCAACTACCCAAGGATTGCTCTCACTTTAATGGTTAATGCCATTTATTGTCTGCTGTCCTATCTGAGGATAGTGAGCATTTAATAAGTGCAGAACCCCAGAGGAACCCAGATGATAAAAGAATTCGCAAAAGGACTACAATCTCGTCTACTAGGAATGCTCATGAAATTAAATTGCAGGCCATGGATTTGTTGGGTCCACCTAGAAATTCTGTAAAAACCTCTTGAGAACTTTAGCTGGTTCTGATGAATGATGTTCCTAGTTGAACGCATTGTTGAGTGCGCGAGTGACATGGAAATCTTGATTAAAGAAAACATGCCGAAACGGATAGCATTTGATGTCATCAGTACACCAGGATCACTGAAATGGTTTGGCCATGGATTCAAGCCGCGTTATCTACATATTTGCTTCAGCGGTTGGAACTTTACAAGAGAGGACACATTCTGTGGATGGACCTCCTTTAGGCTCCTCTACAAGCTATACTCTCTCTCTCTATATATATATATATATATTTGCAATGACAAATTGAACCAACAAAGTTTGTAATTAAGTTTCTTAAGAAATTGCGAAACAAAGTGATGATAACAATAGAAACATGCACACTGGTTCACTGGCATGCGTAGTTCTGTGAGAGATGATGATGTAGAGCTTACCATCAATGAGAGATGTGGCACTGTAGGAGGTGGCACACAGTATCAGCAACAGCAAGTTCACCTTCTGCATCTCTGTCTGTGTTAGAGAGAGAGAGAGAGAGAGATGGCTGGTGTCAAGATCAGAAAGGCGGGTGCTGCGCCAAGCTATTTATCTGATGGATCGATTGGGAATGCCACTGGCTTTGGAGAAATCAACATCAATGCCACTCTCTTTATTTTAATTGTCTGTATCCATGAAAAAAAAAGAAGAAGAAGAAGAAATCAATGGCCAGACTTAAAAAATTGAGGAGTATAAATAAAGGCGGTGCACCGATTGCCGGGGACAAATATTTCGTAACAAGGTGATATAGAACCTTATTGAGAATTAGGGATGATCGGTTTCAGGGTGGATCAGTTCCAGACCTAAAACCTGAAACCGACGCTGTTATAATCGGTTCATAGTTTTTGGAACCTAGAATCTACCCTGTTTGCCCTGAACACTATTTTGGAACCTACCATGTTTTTTCGGTCCGGTTCCAGAGTCTACCCAATAACCTGTTTTTTTTTTTGTTCCTTTTTTTGGTTTCATTTTTTCCGATTAGCAAATAAGAAAACTTATAACTCAAATCAAAGGTTATAAGTTTGATTGTGCAGACAATCTTAAGTATTTATACTTAAGCATATTATCTTAATCCCAATAATTTAATGGACATGATAAAACAGTATAGGTTTCTTTGTTACAGAACAAAAATTTTAAGAACAAAAATTGCAAACTATTTAATGGATATGTAGTTTCTTCGTTACAGAACAAAAATTTTAAGAAAAAGGAAATTGCTACGTATAATGCTTATAAGCCCTTTAGTTAAACTATTTACAAATAATGATTACCTCCATCATCATTCCTGATATAATGCTTTGAATTTTGGTCATATAAAATTGCAAGTGGACCTCCATATAAAACTAGTTCTAAAACCAGTCCGGGTGGGTTTTCACTTGGAATCGGAAATCGAACCGGTCCCCAAAAAATGAAACCGGTTCAAACGGGAACAGGTTCCCGGACCTGTTTTTTGGGTGGGTCGGTCCGGTTACACACCCCTATTGAGAATTAGATTTTTATATAGACTCGCTTTATTGATGAATATGGAATGTGAAAAACATAATTTGACCTTAAGCATATGATCATCTATTTTACACGAGCAAACATATGATTTTGCGTGGTAAGCTTCTGTACTTTCTCGAGAAGTTTACCTGTAATAATGTTCAAGCCTGGAATATCTTGGGATATGCATGATGTTTCTTGGAATTGAAGCATTACATTTAAAGTTGCTTAGAGTAAAGGGTTGGACAGAAAAGAAAAAAGAAAGAAAAATAGTTGATGGATTATATATTCTTGCAAATTTTGCAAGAGATGGGCCGGGGGTGGTTTCTGGGGGAGGCAAAAGCAATTAAGAGGAGCCTGTGCATGAGCACATGCAGTTTGCAGCTGCACACTTAGCCATTTTCTCCTCCAATCATGCAGGCTTACAAAAGGATTTGGATTTAGGAGATCCGGTTTTACTTGACCGTGTTTCTCAAATTCAAAAGGGTTAAAAGGGGGAGAAAAAGAAGAAGTCGACATCATTCCATTTATTAAGTCGAATTCAAATGGGGTCGTGGAGATACTATTTCAGTATCGTTTTCCCTGTGTAACGTGACGAGATGAGCCAATTACAGTGCCCACATGATATCAGTTAACTCTCTTTTTATGTTTTTGGTAAATTTGGTCTTTGATTGGCTCGTTTTTCATGAGTCAATATCGCATGGTATACTGAGCAAAACTTTTATATTTTCAACACGATTCTATTGACACACTTCAAGTATTCAGAAAGGTTGGATATGGTGCATAAATAAATTGTAATCCGGAATTTTGCTTAATCTTATACTTGCAATTTGTATAATAGTACATGTACTTGTACCGTTAACATGGCCTGCTCGAAACGGTTTCCCTTTTCACTTTTTATTATTTCACATTTTACGGCTCACATAGATTGACTTTTTTTTATATCACATGAAACCCTTGTTTAAAACCATTCAAAATGTCCAAATATCTTCATGATGACTTTTCATGAATTGAACTTTATACAACTATGGCGTTGCAGATTTAGGCTCCACATTCACGACGACTTTTCATGAATCGAACTTTATACACGCCCCGTAGACTTCAACATCGCAAAATCGACAGTTAATACAAGAACCAAATAGAGGAATTTCTACCCCCAATTCACGTGCTCATGCCAACCAAAACTCAAATAGCTAAGGTGAAAAAACAACATGCACATGGCATTATAGGGAGGAAAGGTGTCCTAGAAGGTGATTGGGGTCCAAGATCTGTTAATCAAACGAGGGACTCATAACTGGGAATCGTCCAAATTATGAAATCTGTTTTTCTAATCGACATCTTGTCGACATCAACATAAAAAAAAATAAAAATAAAGAGAGAAACAGAAGAAGGAAAAGCATCAGACATCATATGACCGCCACCCCCATCGCAAGCTCTGATGGAGGGGAACATTCGGATCCTATCGTAAGCAACCCATGTGCAACCGTAGTTGTTCCACCAAATCTGCATATGATTTCTTCATTAGAAAACTCGAATTGATTGGGGTTGCTGCTGCTTCCCTGCTCCTGCAGCTGCTGTCGGCTATAATTCCCCATTGTTTTAGCTACCGAGTGTCTGTGAATGGAGAGAAGATAAAGGGGGCAGGCTTAGGGAATATGATAAGCGTTTGCATCAGATTAGAGAAGCACTTAACGTGGGTTTGCATGTGTTGTGCGAGCAGCGCATCGCGTTTCGACCCATCTGCCCGAATTCCAGCATGAATTGCTGTCAATCTTTCGCCAAAACTCTTTTCCCACCCTTTGATTGACAATCTGTCAGCTCGAGCTTTGGAAGCCTTGACGTAACGAATTCCCAATCGGGTCAAAAAAAAACATGTGGCCTTTTCAACTTCGAACTTCGTTCCGGTCTTGTCCATCTCCCTTCATCTTTTTTTTTTACCCATCCATAGGGTCGGGAAGGATGACGAGAAACGGTAAGACGGAATGTGAAGCTTCATGTTTAAACCATCCATCGAAATATGGTCCGGCTCATTACCTTTTCCTTTAAATAAGAGCGAGTATTCGAGCCTTCGATACAACTTATCTCTATGGATGTCTGGCGTAACTCCCAAGATATTACTTTGAACAGAAGACACCGTGATTTTAAGTACGGAATGGACCGAGTCCCGAACCAAATACTTGATTACTCGATTTCTCTTCCGCGGAGGGAGGAGTTGAGAGGGGAGGGGTTATCACATCCTTATTCGTAGGGTGTCAATTAGGGACGAGCGGTTCCCGATCCGATTCTGTCCAATCCAAAAATCGGGAATCGGATCGGGAGGATCAGTTCCCAGTTTCTAGGACCGGAGTCCGGACCGACTAGTCTTGGGACCGTAGACCGGACCGGACCATTGATCCGGTCCAGTTTCAATGGAACCAATCACTTATTGGTAAAGGCAAGAGGGAATTGGGGAAATTAGATTAGGCTTTCTATTTTTTCAAAAATTTTAAAAAGTAAATAAATATATATATGAAAAAAATAAGAAATATATATAGTTATCGGTCCGGTCCAGTCCGGTTCCCACCCTAGAACTGGGAACCGGACCGCCCGGAAACCGGTTCCACTTTTAGGAACAGGGAGCCGGACCAAACCGGTTGATCCGGTCCCGATTTGGGCGGTCCATCTTGCTCACACCTAGTGTCAATGGGTCAGGAATGGAACTGTGCTCGACCCGACCTGAACCACCTACATCCCAAGTTGTCCGGTCTGGTCGGGATTCGAGGTTGTGGGTGTTGTTTTTGGTTTTTTTTGCAGAACTTATCTCTATTGCTCTGTGTTGTTGCTATCAAATAAAATCCCAAAAGATATGTACTTACTGAGAACTCAAAACATCGAAAACCAAAATCTAACATGGTGATCAACTCATGAATGAAAAATTGGCTCACCAATAAGTTACTCGTCTCCGAGATTAGTGAGCATTTTTTGTTGTCATGTTGGCTCACTTAAAGTAATAATACAATCACTTCAGGACCTTAAAGCTTTAACACAAATCACAAGATCTGTGTTCGTTCCTTGGTACGTGAGATGGATCATATAAAACCCATGAATGATCATACTTGGAAGTTCCGATGACCCATTTTGTAAGATGGGCCTCATCCATCAAGCGAGCAAAGGCCTGGGATGTCGATGTTTGGGCCTACCATTACGACCAAGCCCAACATCGAGCCTTTGCTCATGCAGCGGGCTAAGGCCCGGCCACTCTTGGGCCCTCTAGGCCCAGCACTCGACTGCCCTTTCCGTGCCAAGCCCAACCCGATCAGCTGCTAGATTAGCCTATGAGTACTACCCCTTCATCCCGAGTTATAAAATTTTCTGTAATTCCTTTATCCTTTTTCGCAAAAAGACACAAGTAAAAAAATGGATTATGACACAAACAGTCCTTGAACTTTTAATTTATTCAGTATAGTCCCTGAACTTTAGCTTAATGTTCAATTTGATCCCTAGACTTTTAATTTGTTCAATATGGTCTCTGGACTTTTGGTACATGTTCAATTTAGTATCTAAACTATATGAAAATGTTCAATGTAGTCCCTCCATTAATTCAAGTTCAGGGACTAAATTGAACATGTATAAAAAATCCAGGGACAGCATTGAACAAATTACAAGTTCAGTGATCACATTGCACATTGAGTTAAAGTTCACGGACTATATTGAACAAATTAAAAGTTCATGGATCATATTACATATTGGGTCAAAGTTCATGAACTGTTTATGTCATTTTCCCTAAAAAAAGTTCTTTACAGCGGTCATTGAAGCCAGAAACTAGACGCGACCATATGTGACTGTTTCGGCCCTGCGATGTGGCCTAGTGCCTCGGAATCTTTACTCTTTTATCCTTTGAGGTGAAAGGGCTTGATTCCTCCCTCCTTTTTTTTTTTTCCATGGAGCCACACGAAGAAACCCTAAATCTCAAATTAGTAGTTTCGGGATGGGTCGATCCATCAATTCTAAAGGGATTTACTCGACCCATTAACTTGTGTGGCTCACGAAAAAATCCCCCCTGCTCGGTGGTCCTACTTGTTAAAAGGTTCGACTCAAAAGCTTAAATCTATAATTGCATGAATATAAGATCCGTTGAAATCCCATCAACGAATGATGCGGCCACTTTTTGACACTGTTTGGTCCGTGGACTGTTGGCATGTGAGTAGTGCCTGCTTTTTATTGAATTATCATTGGCATGCCTATGTGAGTTTTGAAGGATAGAACAGTATTAGCTATAGTAGTGTAACTTGAGCTATACAATCTTGTGTTTCTCATCTAGAACACTATCCTCCAAGCCAAGTGGTGTCCCCGTTAAACCTTACACAGTAGTCAGGCTGACTCAAGTGAGTCGGTACATGTTACACGTACATGTGTACGAGGAATGCGTAATGCAGATGAGTATTTATACGGCCGTATAGATCACCGTTTCAATCCGACGGACCCCGGGAGATGGTTGGTCGGCAGAACACCAGGAGCTACTAAATACTGTGACTCAAACGACAAGAAGAAGAAAGCCTGAGTAAAACAAATGCTGATCGACAAAATTCATTCATAAGATGATGCAACCGACAGAAACTGTAAACATGTTCCGTTCAAAACAGCTGCTAAGGATATGCTGCATTGCTTTGTACGTCTGGCATCGATCAAATGAAATCGACCGCGCACCTGCATAGTTTCTAGGGATGTAATCGAGTCGATTTCGAATCTAAACTGACAGGGGTTGCTTCTAGAGCTCGACTTAGCTCGATTACACGAGGGAGGCAGTCGAGTCAAGCTCCCACCTCAAACCGAGCTCGACTCTCCGGAGCTTAAATTCGACTTCGTAGAGGCATTCATTAAGCTCAGGCGCTTGAGAATTGACTGGTGGCTTACCATGGGAGCAGACTAGAGCTCAAACATGAGATGTAATGGAAAAACGAATGCAATCAAAGAAATGTGAATTTGCGCAGCATTCGAGCTGAGTTAAACTCGAATATAGTCCGCAAAGGGAAGGCCCGACAGAAGCCACGAGTGCTGCATTAGCACTTGCAGAAAACTAACATCGATGCAAAGTAGTTCATCGTCAACTTATTCAGACAGTGTCGCTAACAAGGACATGAGCGCCCGACAAGAAGTTCCTCCAAAAATCGAAACCTCCACTAGACAAGAACAGCTGAAGTTGAGAAGAAGTACAAAAATCACTTGTTTCTTTCATTTCGACATGGCAAACCCGGACAAAAGAAAAAGCAACGCAGGAGGCATGCATACCTTGACCCGCGCTTCTTCGATCTTCAATCGTCGGGACTGGTCCGGTCAGTCCGAATCCGAAGCGAGCCGGGCGGCAATGGCCGAGTGGTACATTGCGTCGTGGAAGCTCGAGCTCTCCCTGGTCTTCCTCCGGAGTTGCTTCGCTTTCTCCTCCGTGAAGCCACCCAGCGCGAACCTGGATCTGGGCGGCCATGCCGCCGCCGCCGCCGCCGCCTTCTGGGCCTCCGGATTGGGCATCTCCGGCTGGTCGTCACCGTCGGGGATGGTGGCCGTGGCCGTGGCTGCGGCGTGGCTCGGGTCGGAGGGCCACCCGAAGAGCGGGGCCCACCAGTTCACGGAGCCGGGGTTCGGGCGATTCGGGTCGGGCTTCCGGGACGAAGGCGGCAGCGACGCGCGGATCGCGAGGGCGGGTTTGAAGGACGTGATGGCGGTCGACATTGGGGACGTGATGGTGCTGGTAAAAGAGAGGGAGAGAGACACAAACGAGAGGGAGAGTGAGGGAGACTTTCTCTGCTTTGCTCAGCTGAAACAAATGGCGTTCCACCATGGTCGATCCTGCTGTTTCATCAATTTGAGCGCATGCCTGGAGCCAACGTTTCTCTCGTTCAGCTCCAGCTACTTTTCTTCTTTGTTTAATTCCTAGAGCAACGGATCACACATTGTCCGCGCCCCGACGCGTCCAATCGGGTTGGAATTCACGCCGAATCCCGTCCCATTCGGCGACATCGCACATCTCACGAACTTTCCGATCACCGTCAGATCGGTCGATATCCGATCGCGCATAACATCATCCCATGAAATTAGTGATATATCCCGTTGATTAGGAGCAATATTTGAGGTGCTTTTCTCAATTTGGGAATATACCTTACCTTGTTAGACTTTGTATATGTCCGGGTGCAGCTGATGACTTTGATATACCCCAATGGCCACCTTTCCTACTTAGAAAGGGGGGTGGGGAGTTCGAATTCCCACCTTTTCAAGAGGAGGCTAGGGGTGAGGACGTGTAATTTCAAATGTGGGTTTCGACTTTCATGCTCTGCAAGAAGTAGGGCAAAAGTCCACGAGCGAATCGAGAATTAGAGTATGACAGATCAAAAATATACGGGAGAAGATGATGGATAAGGGAGTCGACGTGGATAGGATCGAGATGCGCGTGCAGGTTGGTACTCTCTGTCTACTTTTTTTTCTCGTCGTTTTTTAATTGCTCTTCGGTTGTAGTGCCTAATTAAAAAAAAATTAAAACCCATCTTTAGAAAAACTAAATATCTTTGAGATCCAGATCAGTTCCAAGATTCCAGAGGTCAATTATGGAGATTATGGGCTTAAATGGCCCCATCGAAATGAAATGATATAAGCAAAAGAGAAAGCCCAAAGAGCCCCTCCTAAGGTATCATCATCCTCTTCCCTTTCAATTCAGCACCAAGAACCCATGTACAATTTTGGGCTTGTAGTGGGGGGGGACATTAGCTAGCCCCTGGATTTCAAATTCAAAGAGATCCCTCCTGGACAACATTAGAGGAATCACCACTTTTTTCTTCCCACTAAATCGGGAGACCGGATATCGCATTATTTCCGCGCTTTCCAATCCTTTTTCTTCCAGGATGCGGTCCCGAAAAAAATTCCCGGCGGGACTATCGATTGGGTAGCACTTCCGACCTCATTCGCGGCGGCGGCGGCGGCGATCTCCTAATCAATTATCGGGCTCTCTAGATAGACGTTTCGCACCAGCCCACCTTTGTTAAAATTGCAATCGTCTCCTCCCCCACTCAATAATCGTTGACCCAGACCCCCTCCCCTCCCCCCAAAAAATTTACCAATTTCTAATTTCTTAATCAGCACGAAATATTTTTTTTTTTCCCTCTCCCGGGCGAAAAAAACCCTAATAAAGAGAGAAAAAAAAGGAAAAGAGGCAAAAAGGAAGAGGGGCAAAAATTGAAGAACGGGGGAAGCCCTCGATTTTGGACAGTATAAGAAGCAGGGGCCTCCGTCGCAGCAGCTCCCCTGCGTCTCGCCCCTTCACGCTCCTTCATCACCCAGTTATCTTTTTCGTTTTTTTTTCTTCGTTTTTTTTTTTTACGATTTTCGTAGTTTCGTTCGTTCGTTCGTTCCTTCTTCTTCTTCTTCGGGGCTTCAATCCGCATTTGAACCCAATTTTAAAACAAATTAGTCAGCGAAAAGCGTGAATTTTTAAGGGCCAAAAATCTCCGGATCCCAGAGCCTTGGGATTGTTGATCCCTCTGTAAATCGCCGCCAAGGAGGAGGGAGGAGGAGGGAATTCGAAGCATTTCGGTTTTTGACGAGATCGCCTTGTAAGATATAGCTACTAGCTAGTGATCAGCCCCCTTCGTGTCCCCCAATCGTTCCGGTTTTTTTTTTTTTTTGTTGAGGTTTTGCGCCTCCCTACCTTGGATCTTGGGTTGGATTTGGATTTTAGGGTTGCTTTTGCTCTTTGGGTTTTTTTTTTTGGGGGTGGATTTTTTTGCTTGTAATTTCTTGGGAGGGGGTTGCGATGGAGAAGAAGAAGACGGCGGTGCCGCTCGTCTGCCACGGGCATTCGCGGCCGGTGGTCGATTTGTTTTACAGCCCGATCACGCCCGATGGCTTCTTTCTCATCAGCGCCAGCAAAGGTAACGGAAATTCGTCTAAGGAAGAGTTGCCCCCGTCGTGCGTGTGTTTGTGTGCGCGCGCGCGTGTGCGTGTGTGGATTTCTGTGGGATTTTTCGCGATCTGTACGCGTTGGCGTGCGCTGGGGGGAGTGTTTAGGCCTCGTTTTTGATCGATTGGGTTTGAGCTAGTACGTACGTGTGCGGGGCCGCCGGATTGCTTCGTTGGCTATTGGAAAAGGAAGTGCTTTGTCGGCTTGTCGTTCATTGTCTCGGTGGGATCATTGCGAAGGGCGCTTGCCGGGTGGATTGTGGCCGGCTTGAGTCGGGCGTGTGTCGAGTAGTGGCAATGGATAGGGCATGTTGGGGTGGGATTTGAGTGGGGCTCGTCTGTGGAGTCTTTTTAGTTGGGGTTCGAAGCTGATGTTCTTTGCTGCGTCGTGCTCGGGAAAGTTTAGAGAATTCGAACCGGTGCTTTCGTGCTTAATTTCTGCTGTGGCTTTACTGTTGGGATTCAGATTCCAGCCCGATGCTGCGAAATGGAGAGACTGGAGATTGGATTGGAACCTTCGAGGGACATAAAGGTGCGGTCTGGAGCTGCTGCCTGGACACGAATGCTCTACGTGCTGCATCCGGCTCTGCAGATTTCTCCGCGTATGTGAATATTTAAGTTTGGTTTTTTCGGCAACGGCAGTTGCCTGTATTGTTCGTTTGCTTTGCCAAATAGCTAAGCACTACTTGGTCCATAGAAACGTGAGTTTATAAGGCACATTCAGTCTGACGATGAAGGCATAATTGACCTGTCAGAGAATTTGGTGTCACTTCATTAACAACTCCTTGTTAGAAAATTTGGGGGGTGAGGCTTGCTTGTAATCCTTGATTTTGAGATAGCAGACTACTCTAGGCAAAGGAGTTGTGTCTGTATTTCGTTATTTATGACATGCTCATCACTAGGAGGACATTGTTCATGAGTGTTACTCTCTGTGCCTTTTTCCCAGGAAACTGTGGGATGCATTGACCGGGGATGAATTGCACTCTTTTGAACACAGGCACATTGTCCGGGCATGCGCCTTCTCAGAGGTAATTACAATGATTTCTGACCTTTTCCCTGTAGCTGCTAATTCTTTGGCTTTTGTTGGGTTTCATTGTATAATTTTTTGTCCATTTCGTTGACCCTCTCAACTTCTTATCAAATACTTCTGTTGTGTACAGTTCTGAAGCTTCTTAAGCCTCACCATGCACTTTTTACAGGACACTCATCTCTTGCTAACCGGCGGTGTCGAGAAAATTCTTCGAATTTTTGACTTGAACCGACCAGATGCTCCTCCCAGAGAAGTTGACAATTCTCCAGGTTCAATAAGGACTGTTGCATGGCTCCATAGTGATCAGACCATATTGAGTTCCTGTACTGATATTGGTGGCGTAAGGTAAACTTAGTTCTATCAGGTTGAAATATTTGTTCCTTTAGCCTGTTGTTTTGTAATCTCTGTTTTGACCGGTTAAGATTTAAACTGGGCGCTCATTTTTGTTGGGCAAACTGGGTTTAGCCGTGTGGGCTATATTTACCAGGTTCGGCAAGTATTTGCGCTGTTGATTATTTTTTTCGTCTTTCAGTATTGTTCACATTCAAAAAGAAAAAAAGTTTGGGTATGTGAATGGTTTTCTCCAAGTCTCGTCTACTGCATGTTGCTCCTATTTGTAGCTTAACTGTGAAATGCAGTTATGTTTTAGGCTCGGAATATTGATGCTTTCTTTAAATTGTGGAGGCACGTGTGCCCTAATAACTTCCTGCCACTCTACCCTTGGAGCTAGGGCATCATTTAATTTTTTTTGCAAGGCAGGGCTTATTTTTATTTCCTAATGAATTGTTTAAGGTTGACTATCGAGCTGTGTTTTTTCCTCAAGCTACATTTCAGTGGGATTAGATTAGGAGGAATTGGAATGATAATCTATGTTTTCATTAAGCCCGTTACTTATATATATATATAAGTAAACAATTAGGCTGAGAAAAATTTCTTAGCATATCTATATTTTCTCATGAATTTGGATGACCTAGCACTCATTTTTGGTTGAGTTGTATACTTACCTTCTTTGTTGGGTTTTGCTCATTCATTCTCATCCATACCCACTTGAGTTTTGACCCCTTTCTCTCTACAAAAAGTTCATTAAACATATTGAACAAACTTCTTATTGTGTTTTGTTTCATCGAAATCTAATTTTAATGCTGATGTTTCTGATTGGCCCTTTACGATCCATGCTTTATTCTGAATAAAAGAAGGATCTGCCTGATTTTGATTTGCACATATAGGACAAAAGTCACTAATATTGAATTTTAATTTCCATTCCTGTTGATTCTGAGGAACCAAACAACCTACGAATAGAATGAGAATCTTATCGCATTCTATTGCATTCATTACAAACCTACATACAGGCCCTTAATAAACTGGTTGTCGGGTCAATGTGGTACTTGTCTATGGTCGTCTTTGTAATTAGCTATCAATGTGGTGTATTTGGGAATATGATACCGCTCTTGCTACGCCCATTATAAGCTCTTGAAAGCTTATTAAACTCTTAATATTCCTTTACATTCACCTATGCATGCCGTCTGGCTCTCTTTTCTTATCTACTTTGTGACTACACTACAGGTTATGGGATGTAAGGAGTGGGAAAATTGTTCAAACTTTGGAGACAAAATCTCCTGTCACTAGTGCTGAAGTGAGTCAGGATGGTCGCTATATTACCACAGCTGATGGTTCTACTGTTAAATTCTGGGATGCAAACCAGTAAGCTCCTGTAGTAAAACTGTTCTTGATTATGTTTTGTTTGTCAAGACTGGGCTAACAAAAGTTTTTCTTTATCATTGTTTAGCTTTGGGTTGGTGAAGAGCTACAACATGCCCTGCAATGTCGAGTCAGCCTCGTTGGAACCAAAGCTTGGGAATAAATTTATTGCTGGTGGAGAAGACATGTGGGTTCACATTTTTGATTTCCATACTGGAGAAGAGATTGGTAGGTGATGGTGATATGTATTTCAAGTTTCGTATAGCTTTGGTGTCTGATGAGTGGCACATACTTCTGTGCACTTATCGGCTCCTTCTATAGTAGCGGTGTTGCATCTTATTTACTTTTCTTCCAGTTTGTGTTTATTATTTCCATATTTTCTGCATGTTGTGCGCTATGAAAATTAATGGGCCTCATCTTGAATGGCTAAACTGTGCTCCACCTGAATTTTCTCATGCAAAGAAGCTTTTCTCTGTCATGTCGGTATTCTGTGACGATCAAGTTCTAATTTGGATCCTGCTTACCCTTGGCTTTAGGATGCAACAAGGGTCATCACGGTCCTGTCCATTGCGTGCGATTTTCGCCTGGTGGGGAATCCTATGCTTCTGGTTCAGAAGACGGCACTATAAGAATATGGCAGACTGGGCCCACAAATAACTTAGAGAATGATGCAAATCCAGGCAATGGACCAGTAACTGGTAAAGCAAAAGCTGGGGCAGATGAGGTTACTCGTAAAGTAGAGGACTTACAAATTGGCAAAGAAGGGAAGGTTGGTGAGAAGGATAACGCTGCGGACGCATAATGTGCTCTTTAGGTTTGATCTGTCCGTTTTGTCTATCCTGCAAGTTTCGAGCATGTGCGTGTGTGATGCTTGTGCTTTGCAAATAAAGTGGACATGCTTTTGATAATTTTTATTCCTCTGCGGTCCTTTTAAATGGTTCTCCCTTGGAAGCTCGCTGTCTCCTCGTGTTCCTCTTGTAACAGCAGATAGCGCTGAAGTTTGGGGACTTCATTTTTTTGCTTTCTGGATTGTGCTTAATGAAGAAGTATCTGGAATTTTGCTAGGTCTATAGTCAGCTGGTGCTTAGTGGTTCTTTGTGAAGTTTCATTTCTTCTTTCTCAGGAAAATAAAAATGAAACTTCTCGGAGAGTTTCCGTTAAAACCCTCAATTTCTTGCCAAACGAAGTCTCAATATCCATATTGAAGTCAAGATATGAATTGGTGGGCGGGGGAAGGTTACACACTTAACTTTTCGGTTTACCCGCAACTAGCACATGCCGGGTTGAATTCCAGCACTACCGATGCAAAAAATTTGCACTTTTAGAAAAATGAAACCACGATGTAGAAAGTTTCCGAAGCATCACTGAGCATAGAGACGACCCAAAGACATTAATGTATCAGTTCAAAATTGTCTGAATGATATATGTTATAAATGGTTGCTGGAAACCCTCAAAAGCACGACTGAAACTGTCTCTTTCCCAGTGAAGTCCCTCCGTGATTTAGCAGCTGAAGATGAAGCACTCATGTTGATGTCATAAGTACCGGAAGAACTGGTCCAGCTATGTGGCCATGTGGCCAGGTCAAATATCATATAGTTGCCGTGTTCAAACTTTGCATCTTGACAGATTCAGCTGATGCAAGAGTAGTCATCTTGGAAAGACGAGGAAATATGTATCTCGATTTGTTTTTTGAACCCTCACAAGCCATGCATTAAGGATACTAATCAACTGAGGAATCAGAGGCGAACTTCACAAGCGCCTGTTCTGAAATTTGATAGCAAGCTGTCCTTGGCAAATTTGCGAGGGCAACGGTCTGGTTAGCTCCCTCGGATCGGCCTCAGCGTTATAAGACAAAAAACTTACCTACTTATTTATGTGGGTATCGCAATCAAAAGAGATTAAGGTAGATATACTCATCTCCGAGTGACTGTTAGGTCCAGATTTGTTGGTACGATATCTGTATCGGGTGGTTGTTAAGCCTTTTTTTTCTCAAAAGCTATATCAAAAGGTGAAACATTTCCTCACACTTACAAATTGACTACCAGCCCCTTTTATGACTGATGTGGAATAACCCAACGGTTGTCAACCCTTGCACGGATATGATGGAATCTAACGGAAGAGAAAAAAGAAAAAAGGGGAACCATGTATTAACCTGGTCCATTCTTTCCTTCATATTGCTACTTGTTTGATTTGCTCTATTGTCAAGCGTGAAGAGAAATCTGCTGCGACGTTTGTGCCTTTTCCTTCTTTCGACCGAAGTGAATTTGTATATGTCTGGCCTCGTACGTCCTTCCCAGTTGATTAACGTCGGCTTTCGTTGCATGTTGCATGGTCCACACAAGACTAGGATCGTCTTCGGAGGCTTATTAAATATATGGTATCCCTCCCTCCTGGCAAGCGCATCAAGAGGCAAACAGACAGAAAGTCATCATGAGATGGCTCCAAGAGAGTATAAGTGCATCGTTATCGTTCTAGCGATAGCCATTATCCACGTCTCTGTCAGGCGATAACAACTTACAACCAAAGGGAGCTGCTGTCCTAAGAAGATCAGAGGAGTACGTCGATTTCAATTGAGTATATACAACCGTGATTCTTAGTCCTTGAAAAAGAATTGTTAGTCCCCTCATTCTGCAGCAGTTGAATATGTATTACTAGTCATGTTGGGCATCCCATACATTTTCTAGTTTGAGAGAATCACTTTTAACAGAGGATGCCATTTTTACGGGGGAAGTAATTTGTTAATACTACTGTTGGGTTGTATTTGTAGATTATCATTTCTCTTTTCATGTTTGGAATACTAGAAAGATCCTAGTACTGATGTAATAGCCACACTGAACTATCACTTGACATGTGGCGGACATCAAGTCACGCAGATTAGATTGTAGTATGTAAATCGAGTAACCATAACCGAGGTAAGCGATGTCTATAGCTTCGCTATGCAGCCCATACAACAACATTCACATAGTTGATTGGATCGATCCTACCTTCAACTGAGGAGCCATCACAGACCTTGTCGATCCAAGGCTGAAAGCAGAATTTAAGTACAGTGCCTGTGATCTTAATCCTTGGAAATACCCGGCATAAGCGTCGTACTGGTGGAGATAAAAGAATGCTTAGCCATGGCGTCGGCTCCAGAAGATCCTCAGTGGCCTAACCAGAGGACTTCGAGCAGCACGAGGAATATCTCAGCACCAGGTAGAGCCGGCAAAGAAATCGAACGCTTTTCCACCTCGCCATTTGCTTTTTCACCAGATTGTTACTGTGGGTTAGCGACATGCTAGTACAATTTCGAATTCGAATGCTTGTATCACTGCTCTGGGTAAAAGAACAGCCTGAACAGCTGCTATTGTAAGTTTTCAAAGGCAAATTGTGATTTCGTTGCTTATCCGTTGACCCTAATCAAGGAATCTATTTTGAGACCAGATTGCCCCACCTACCAACCCCAAAACAAAAAAATAAAGAAGAATGAGAACACCCCAACTCCAACTCAACCACATTATCTTGGCCCACCCCAATAAGAAAAAAAATATTATTCAGTCCACCAACTCCAAACCACCCAAACACCAACAATGACAGGAAGAAAAAACCATTTCTGGGTTGGTGAAATCCACTTCCCTTTCTCTCTCTCTCTCTGTCTCTGTCTCTCTCTATTTTTTCAACCTCTACCTCCTAAAGGAAACACCTTAGGAACTACATCTTCTAATACCTACTTTTGTTGAACAACACCATCTCCATCTTGAGGCAAAAACAGACACCATCTTCCTTGATCTCTCCTCTGTCTCTCTGTTGCAATGGCCGGGGAAGAGGTAAAGACAGAGACGCCCCCGAACTTCTGGGGGCACATGCCGGAGGAGGAGTACTACGCGTCGCAAGGGGTGCGCAACTCCAAGTCCTACTTCGACACCCCCAACGGCAAGCTCTTCACGCAGAGCTTCCTGCCCTTGGATCAGGAGGTCAAGGCCTCGGTCTTCATGACCCACGGCTACGGATCCGACACCGGCTGGCTCTTCCAGAAGATCTGCATCAACTTCGCCAACTGGGGCTACGCCGTCTTCGCCGCCGATCTCCTCGGCCACGGCCGCTCCGACGGCCTCCGTTGCTACATGGGTAACATACTAACATCCACCTCCATTCCCTCTCTCTCTCTCTCTCTCTCTCTCGAGTCAAAGCCTCTGTAGCTTATGGTCACGCCTGCAAAAACAAGAAAATGCCCAGATTTTGCCATTGCCAGAGCAGAGTCTTTTTAATCGTTACTGAATACCCTGTTTCGTATTAAAAGTGGGGGGTCGAATGGTCACTATAGCTTGTGGTTGATGTGCTGTTGCGTCTGGACATTAGCTTTGATTGATGAGCCGAAAATTTAAATGGGGTTGCTTCTTTTGCAAAGAAGAAAAGTAGGCTCGGGGCAGGTCAAGTAGAAATTCCTGCAGTCCCCAAGTTGGTCCACATGTCAATATAGATAGAATCGTTCAACCAAAAAAAAAAATATAGATAGAATCGAGTCATCTTTCTGTTAATCGCTTCAATAAAGAAGGGAGCTTTTAACGTTTTCTCAATCATTGCGTCTTTGTTGTATCCTAGATCTATTAAGGTAACTGCAAAAGAAACACAGGGCGCTGGAGAAGAGAGAGCATTTCGAAGCATGAATGGTTCTTAGTATGTGGGCAACAGGAAATCCTCCATTTGCATAAAAACTCACAATGACACGGTCTTTTGGCCCAATGTGTAATGTGATTTTTGAATTTTGAATTAGTTCAACGTGGCCTGTCAACTTTGGCCTAATGTGCAATGTGATTCCAGAACTTTTAATTTGTTCAATGTAGTTCCTGAACTTTTTCTACATATTCAATTTAGTCCTGGACTATATGAAAATGTTCAATGTTGTCTTTAATCTTGAATTAATGAAAGGATTGTATTGAATATTCAAGGACTATATTGAACATGCAGCATGATCTGTTCATTTTTGCCATTATTCCTCCTGGAAATGAGAAGAGAAGAGTGAATGAGATCTGTGTTTGGCATATAATGCAGGTGACATGGAGAAAATAGCTGCCACGTCCTTGGCATTCTTCACCCACGTCCGCAAGAGCGAGCCCTACAAGGACTTGCCCGCCTTCCTATTCGGCGAGTCCATGGGCGGCGCGGCGACGATGCTGATGTACTTCCAATCCAAGCCCGACACATGGACAGGTTTGATCTTCTCGGCCCCGCTCTTCGTGATTCCAGAGAACATGAAACCCAGCAAGGTACGAGCATGGGGAGTTGCTGTCTAGACCCCGTTTATGTTGTGTGCGCATTGACAGTGCGAAGGGATCATCTGCAATGTGATTTGGTTTCAGGTAAGGTTGTTCCTCTACGGCATGCTCTTCGGGGTCGCCGACACTTGGGCGAGCATGCCGGACAACAAGATGGTGGGGAAAGCCATAAAGGACCCTGAGAAGCTCAAGATCATCGCGTCGAACCCGAGGAGGTACACGGGCAAGCCGAGGGTGGGCACGATGAGGGAGATCGCCCGGGTGTGCCAGTACATACAGGACAACTTCGCCAAGGTGACCGCCCCGTTCCTGACGGCCCACGGGACGTCGGATGGCGTCACGTGCCCCACGTCATCGCAGCTCCTGTACGAGAAAGCGTCGAGCTCGGACAAGACCCTGAAGCTGTACGACGGGATGTACCACTCGCTGATCCAGGGGGAGCCCGACGAGAACGCCGACCGGGTGTTGGGCGACATGAGGGAGTGGATCGACGAGCGGGTCGCGAGGTACGGGCCAAGAATCGCCTGAGCTCAGAGCATAATCCGGTTTTTTTTTTTAGCTTCTCTTGTGGTGCGTGTTGATCATAATGAAAATGTCCAATTTAATTCTGATTATGAAGGTGGAGGGGTCTGTATGGTGATCAAGGCATGTTTGGGGAATAATCTAAATTCTATAGTACAATTTACGTGGTCATCAAATTCAAATTGCCAAATTAATCTAATGAATGATATGTAGAGGCTCTACCAAAAAATGATGGGCTCTCTCTTTTTGTCTTTTTCCAATTCTACATTTCTCTCGAATCCTTGGTG